GCCGCGATGGCTGTGTCGGCCGTTTAACCACACGCGAGAGCTAGTGCGGCGGCCGCCGTCTTCGGCTGCTACTCCCCGCGAGTCGCTGTAGCGGCGGCCGCCGTCGACGGGGACCCTCTCCTCCAAGTCGCTTTCCAGTGTCCCGATTCCAGCCACCAGGTTGGACCGGTGGCGGAGCAGTCGCCTTGGAAACGAATAAACTTCCGGCGTGCTACGGTCATTTCCAGTTCCTTACGGCCTTGCGTCACTTCCGGCTTCTTTTCCTCCACCTTTTTCAAGGCTTCTCCTCTAGAGGAATCGGATGGTGATAGGGACGAGTTTTCGGTGAAGTTCCGCTGGGCCTCACACCCAGCCTTATCTAGGCCTTGTCTTTGTAACGGCCTGGCTTCGGTCGCGCCCTCCATGGCTCAGCGCGCAGGTGGAGGCTCCAGGACTGCAGTCTGCGTAGGTGACCTGTGTGGCGCGGGCCGGGCGGGGCCTTTCGTCCTTGGCAAACCTAGTATTTTCATTGCTGGGTGGAACGTCGGAGAAAAGATATTCTTACCTTACTTTTTCACAAGTATGGAAAAAGACCTAAAGAAGTCAGTAGCTGCGGCCGCTATCATTATTGAGTGCTTATTAGTGTCCGGCCCTTTGATAATCGGTACCTAATTCTCACAATAATTTTGTAAGGTAGGTGTTATTCCCATTTTACAGGTGAGGAAAGTCAAGGTATCAGTAGTTTGCTAAGACCAAACAGCAGGTAAGTTGCAGAAACAGTATAAAAACACAGGTCATTGGTCAAAAGACTGCTCTAGGTCTCCTGACTTCAAATCCAGGGTTTCTGTTTACTTTCCACAATTTGGCCGAAATCTTTTTCTCCATCCCTGTTTCTTAACCTGCGTTCTTTCATTCAGTATTGCAAATGTAGGGGTCAGATTTTGTGCTAGCCCCCGAGAATACAGAAATTAGAATTCTCTTTCCTCCAAAGGCATCACCACCTTCATTCCCCTCTAACCCTAGTTTTTTATTTTTTTATTTTTTTCCTTAATCGTTGCCTTGCCGCAGGTTTTGTGCTGCGAACACATTTGGGAAATTCCCCTGACCCTTTCCTTTCTTGAAATACAGTAAATTGCCCTTTTTTTTTTTTAACTTTCATAGTCTCTTATAATATTAGTAACTGCCATTTGTTGGGTTCATATTATGAGTCTGACACTGTACTGAGTGCTTTATATTAGTTTTCTTATTTAATCCTTAATATAACCTACCATGATAGTATTACTGTTCCTTTTTACAGATAAAGTGCTAAAGTTAATTGCCTGAGGATATACAGCTAGTAAGTAGTAATTGCCTGAATTAGGGTTCTTACCTAGATCTTTGATTTTATTCCTTAAAGCTTCTGAATTCTCACCTTTGTATTAGACCACTTATCACATTGTATTATAATTACTTATTTAACAGTTGATTCTTACCCCTACCCCCCAAGGACTCTGAGCTTCTGGAAGGTAGGGACTGTTTTATTATTCATCTTGACATTCCAAACATATAGAATACTTAGTTCAAGGAAGAAGGGCCTAGTAACTGTTGTGTAGGTGAGTGGGTGGGTTCATTGGTTTGATTGTTCAGTGAATGTACTGATAGACTGAAAGTAAAGTTTTTTACAGTTGGAAGGGATTTGGGGATTAGTTATCCCAATACTCTCATTTTTAGAAACAGGGTAACAGACCTTTTACCATACATATGTTGAATTATTAATATGGGCTAGTTTCTATGCTAATGATTTGCATATAGTTTCAAACTTAATCTGTATTATTCTGTTTTCACAGATGAAATCACTCAGATTTGACCAAGATCTCCTAACTAGTAGGTGGGGAATTGGAACCCACTGTGACTGACTCCAAATTAATACAGTGCTTGTAGCCATTTATATAATGGTAATGGCTTTGTTTTTTGTTATACTGTATGGATAAACTCACTGAGGGAATGAGGTAGCACATCCTTAAAGGATACACATATAGCAGGAAGGATCAGAAAAGGAAACAAACAGCAGAGAAGCAGAAAAAGTAAAATCTCCCAAAATAAATTTTAAAAACTTTAAAAATAAAAGCAGAAATTGATGAAATAGAAAATAAAAATGATCATAATAATAGCTGATATTTGAAAAGAACAGTAAATAGATGCTTAGCAAATAGGAAGAAAAGGAAAGAAATCAGTTGTGGAAACAAAGGAAATATATTACAGATATATGAGGGTCTTCAAAAATCATAAATGATTTAAGGTAAACGTATACTAATAATCTGAACATTGACTTGCACAATTTTCTAGGAAAATAGAAATTTCAAAAAATTGGCTCAAGAGTTAGAAAACCTTAATAAACTGATAATCATAAAAGAATGACCTACGTATCCTTAACAAAAGTCACCAGGAACAAAGCATAAAGAAGAATGGAATACTTACCAACTACGAAGGTAGCATAACACTAATAGAATCTATACAAGGATAGTGAAAAAAACATGGCTTAGTCTCATTATGAATGCACATGCAAAAATCCTAAGGAAATTATGCAGCCAGCAGTGCATTAAGAATAATACATAACCAAGTTGGATTTATCCTACTAATACAAGGATGAGTTAACATTAGACAATGTAGTAATAAAAATTTCCTAATTTAATAAAAGAAAAATCATGTAATCTTAATTGATAATAAAAAGCACTTGAAAAATTAGCATCTATTACAGATTCAAAAAGAAGAAAAAATTCACAATAAGTAATAAAAGGAAGCTTGCTAACTGGATGAACAAATGAATAGCACACTTAATTTCACAGTCCAGGTTATCTGCTATCATTCCTACAATTCACTATTCTGAGAATTGTGGATGCAATTTAATAGTAAGCAGGATATATAAGGTATGAAATTGGAATGGAAGAAATTAAGACATGATATTGTTTACCTGGGAAATCTAAGACAACTGTAAAATATTGTTAAATATGAGAATAAAGAGCTCAGTAAGATGGTAAGCTATCATAGCAACATAGAGAAATAAGATTTCCCATAAACTAGATAGAATCCATTTTTAAATGTAAAGGAAGATCTCATTCACATTAGCATTAACAGTGGTGAAATATTCTAGGAATTAAGAAGTGAGCAAAACCTACATAAAACCATAAGACATAATTTATGGATATTATAGAAGATCCAAATAAATGGAAAGATATGCTATGTCCCTGTGAGGAGGCTCGGTATTATAAAGATAGGATTCTCCTGAGACTAAATTTGTTGCATATTTCATCAAGTAAAAATTCTAACAATTTTTAGTGGAAATTGGCAAGATGATTATTTAAAGTTTATCTGGAAGATTATACAAGATTAACCAAAACATTTTTGGAGAAGAATTAATGAGGACTTACCAAAGTACATATTAGAACTATAAAGCTAGACTCAACGTTGAGAACAGGGTGGTATTGGAACAGGACTAGACAAATAGATTAGTGGAACCAAACTAGAATCAAGAAATAACCCTATGTATTTGTTTATTTTAGAGGTGGAAATTTTCAAATACAGAAATGTGAGGTCTTCAGTATTTTTGTACACAAAAATTTCAGAAGAATTCAAGACATTAACAAATATAAAGTGTTGGAAGACATACAAAAAATTTTGTAATTCTTAAGAAAGCCTTCCTAAGCGAGATAAGCCCCAGAGACCACAGAGAAAAAAGTATATAAACATTTAAAATATAAGAATATGTTACTGTGAAGTTGAAATCATAGAATACTTAATGTTTATTATCTTCTAAAAATTTTAGAAATGATTACAATAGAATATTAATGACCAAAAAACATAAAAATACCAAGAGCAAGTTAACAAAGGAAAGGATACTCATAGAGGAAGACACTCTTGTGCATCACAATGATTAAAAGATTATGGATAATGAGTGTTTAACAAGGTTGTCTGAACAAAGCACTCTGAAGACCTTGCTGGTGAAAGACGAAAGTGGTGAGACCCATGAAGGACAATTTGGCAGTATCTGTCAAAATTCAAAATATATATTACCCTTCAACAAGCAACTATCTAGTTGTAAAATATTCAAAATAACTTGCTCAAATATGTTTGCTAGGATAGTCATTGTAACACTTTGTAATTGAAAATAATTAGAAATTTGAATATCCATCATGAAAGAATGGCTAAATTGTTACATTCATTGTATGAAATATACAGTAGTAGAAATGCAGCTCTGCATGCATTAATCAACATGGAAAGAGCTGTAAGATGCCAAATGACAAAAGGCAAAACAGTGCATATGTGATCTCATTTAATTTCTAAAATTTACTTTGTAAATGAATTTTTTTCTAAGTTTGGGAAGGATATACCAAATTAGCTGAGTGGTTACTTTATAGAACAAGAAAGAGGATGTGAAAAGCTATTTTCTATACTTCTTATATTTGATTTTTAAAGTTATTTTAATTCTTCCTAAGTAAAATTATAGAAGCACAAGAAAACATGCACTATCACATAAAACAAAAGAAGATACTTTTAAGGAGTATATGGGCCAGGAGAGATTAAGAGGCTAAGAAAAACACTGGTTTTGGCAAGGAGTCATTGAAAATACTCGGGAGATCAATTTTAATGAAGTAGTGAAGAAGATGTGAAAACCAATTGCACAGGATTTCAAGGTAAGTGAGAGACTGACATGAAGTTTCTCAAGTAAAACAGGTTTCAGAACACACTGAAGTGGTTTTTATTCCAAAGAATTGGAACACTTGTAAGTAGGAAGCCTATGGTTCCAATTAGTAAAAATGGCTAGTCCTCTCCATCTCTACTTCAGGTTTCCCAGAGTGGCTAATCAGGTTGTTTCCATAATCCCCCATAAATCAGCTCTTTGCATCTATGTCGTGAGGGAGCAGGGCCAAAAATTGAACTAAGTAGGTTTTGGTTAACCATCTCTGAGCCATTGTACCCTCTCAATACTTTGCAGGCAGTCTTGCTCTCCATTTGTTGTGTACCTCCAAACCCTCACTGGGGCACCCCACTGATGCTTTTTGGCTTATTCTTTAACTTGCTCTTCTACCCCTGCTCAACAGTATCCAGTATTTCAAGGAGCTTACCCCATTTAGGATTAGGAGTATATTACCTATTCCTACATGTAGAAGGTCAGGCCTTGACAATAGCCTGATTTTTCATTTCTACCTCCAGATGACCTTTATTCAGCAAAATCTTTCCACTTGGAGACATGGTTAGATACCTCCTTGAATTTTCCTGAATATTTTGTGCGAACCTCTCAGAGCACGTTAGCCATTAAAATAGGCTGGGGGAAAAAAAACAGCCAGGAAAATAGAATCTAGAATTCTTTTAGGTTTAGCTCTTATATGAGAAACTTTAACTTTTTAGTAATTAGGTCCTTATTTTTCTCCCTAAAAGCTTATTTTCAGTTGAATAACAGATTGTAGTATTGTCCAGAACATGAACATTGGAAGTTTTAAGTATGTTTAACTCAGGACATTGTAAAGGGTATAAACTATGAAATTTGTAGTTTTCAGGAAATGCAATATTCATTTTATTCTCACAAAAAGCCAATGTTCCATCTTCTCTAAGGCCTTCAGCTTTCCCTGCCATACCTTCCAGTATGGATTACTAGTTCTAGTTCCCAGTGCTATATGTTGACTACTTTCCATCTTTTGAGGCTAAGATTCAGTGTTGCTAATTTCTAGATCAGTTATGAGTTTTGGCTATTCATTAGAATCAAATATAGAACTTTTTAGAACATTAGTTTCAAGTGTAACTATGGAACATCTTAAATATTAGAAGTGTCTCTGAGAAGTTACTGAGACTCCAGAAATAAGGAATCTTAATATTCAAAGTGATTCTAATGCATAGCCCAATGAGGGCCAGACCTCTATCAAATCACAGATGACATCTAGGCTCCTATTGTAAAGAAAAGCTAAAAATTGACTCCTTGATTCCAGATCCAATTCCTGTGACCATCTCAGTACTGTCCCTCATCCATTCTACAGCTAATTATTCTTGTGCTATTGGTCTGTCCAGCTCAGACATCAGTCATCTCTTCAGCCTCCCCCCAAAGAGCTTTTAACCTTACATGCTAACTTCTCTTTCTCGTTCTAACTACAATTAAACTCTCTAGTTTAACCTTTTCAGAGTAGCTTACTGTTCTGTCACCTATCAATCAATCACCCACACAACATATTATAACTGGTATTGGTACTCGTAACCAAAACTTCAGTCAATAGATGTGTCTCAATCTTCCCATGATTTTTAAACTTTGTTGACTACCCATTTGAAATTTCTTCTTCCACTGCTGGTTTTATTTTCACAGTAATGCCTTCTCAACCTTCCCACCTGAGTCCAAATGTTCCTCAGAGAACATCTTCCTCGATACTCTTGGTGTATTGGTATGTTTGAATGTCACTTTGTCTGTCTTCTCCCAAAAAAGTCACACACAGCAGGAAATGTTTTCTACAGTTTTTGGATACGGACCCCAGCACTTCTTCCATGACTGTTCATGTGTGTTCAAAAGTTTAACTACCACATTATGTGTTTAACTCTCAAATCCAGTGAACACTTAACTCGTTTTCTTATCAGACCTCTCCGTAGCATTCGATAATTTCTTTAAAATTTTATTCACTTAAAAAAGCCAGCGTTAGGTGCAGATAATAGGATATTCTTTTTAAAATGTCTAGGGGCTCCCATGGTTATCAATATAGTACTCTTTAGTATGACCAAGGAAACTCTATAGAGTAACTGGATTTTAACCATATAAAAATTAATTTTTGAAAACACGAAGTATTTTCAAGCCTTTACATTTGCTGTTCAGATACCCTTCCCACCAATGTGGACTCTACTCCTATTTATCATCCAAGAAATATTTCACACCTCTATCTTGCTTAACCTATCCCCAGGTAGTTTGGTGTGCCT